GATTTCAAAATGGGCCATTGGCCCATTAAGGACGACCCCCATTACCCTACTAATATACTTTCAATCCTAACACATACCAAGTAGCAAAGCGAACCTGTAACAATTTCAGTATAATTATAAAGAGTAATAATAATAATAATATGTCCCTATATATAGCGTAGCTACTAATGTGCTTCATACCAAGTATCCTATTATCAACCCGGCTGTAGCTGAGCTGTTACAGTAGCTGATTCATCTTTCCAGTCATGGTCTATTGAAATTCTTGAATAGCAGCCAGCGACCAAATTGCTCAAAATTTACAAATGCATTTAAAACATAAGAAGATAACGTTCAATATAACTAAACATGCTGAATGTAGTGTGCTGTTCATATATCTCATGAATCTACATGAACAGCAGTAAGAGAGGACCAGCCATTGGATTCAAGCTTGAATCACTACAAAGGGTAAGTATTACAGAACCTTTTGCTTTCTGTATATCATGGGTAACCAAACCTAATATATGCAAAATTTATGGAGGTTTTTTGAGATCTATGGTACTTGTTTAAGTAAATTAAAAATCCTGCTGAACTCAGAAAAGATTGCTACAACAAATTCTGTAATCTTTACACAAAACAAGTTCGTAGTGCCAAAAGATGTTATTACTTTTCAAAATGTTCTACCTTTAAATGAAACATAAATCAAACTTGAAGAACCATTCACAATTATTAATCCCTCACTGAATCTGGTTAGTCACTACCACATATCTTTGCTACAGTATTCTCGACGCAACAGAGAGGAATAAACTGTGAGAATGTTCACTTGGCTTGAGAAAGTCCACATGAGTGGATGAAAGCTTAGCTACTGATATTTATATGGTGTCGGCAAGTTCTAAATAATTTGACCTGTCTAATGCTTCCCTAATATATGGCCTCGACTGTTCTCTTGGCGTGTCCTTTTTCCAATCTTGTCCTAGTTCCGGTTAACCTGCAACCTTTGTTCATGTCGCTTAAATGCTGCCATTGAGCATGACTGAACCCAAGATTAAAGGCAACCATTTTGACGTCATCATGGTTTCCTAGTTGCTGTGCTGACTTTGCCAGATCCAAGTCCATTATCTCGTTCAGGTTTTCACTACAAAACAAAAATTGACATGCAATAAGATTAGCTTTGCTATATGCCTATCACAGACTCTGTAAGAATGAGGAGGTACCCGTTTTCCTAATGGTTCTTAACCCTAAAAAGACTGGGCTATTTTGAACCTTTAAAATGGGGAGGGGGGCTCCCCCTTCGGCAACCGAATCTCTGAGAGACTCCCAATTTTGTATGGTGATAGATGTCCACGAGATTGTATTTGGCTTTATATATGGTTATTCTATACGCAAAAATATCTAACCAGGAGCAGAGACAGTAATCACACGAATCACAAATATTTTAAACCTTGTCAAAGATGACTTTACCGGAGGAATAGTAAGAAACTGCCCTTAATATTTGCCGACCATATATAAACGTGATGTTGTTACCTTGCCTCGTTCACCGATGTTGTTTCTAATGAGCCGATGGTTGATATTTGATGTGGTACACAACTTTCCAATCCCGAATGACCGCATCCTATGCAGAACAAACAAGGATTTATAAGAATCGTGACACCTTAAAGTATGGAATACTCAAAATAATATTATTGTTATCTCTTGAATCTGCTTGGTAATTGAAATGAATTATGAGTTTTTATGAGTTACTCCGACTTTCTCTCCTTAAAGGTACTATGTCTCATTTGCAGGCCAAACAAATGAAAAAGTTAAATTCCAACTGCATTTGAAAGATAATACTAATTTAGAACTTCCCTAAAAAAGGTGGGGCTTGAAAATGTCTTCAAGTGGGAAAATAACGACTATTAGTTGTCAAATCGACTTTAGGGCTATAGAGCCCAAAAGTAATAGTCTTGATTTTCAGACAATTGTACCGAATGGTCATACGTTTTATGCTGCGCAAAGATTCAATCAGTTTAATCTTGGTCATCACAAGAAGTGGGTTATTGATGTAGAAAAATGCTCATGTACCCTTTACAACTCTTTTCATGTATGTTATTACCAAAGAAAAAAAAGCCAGTCAGTCACTCAATAGTGTCTGACAGTGAAGTCTAGCAAGTAAACGGGTTTTCCCTGCATAATTTGAATATGAGGACACTGCTAACGTTTAAATTTCAAAGATAGGACATACATGACATATTCATAATTCCTGCAAAGTTCTACAGAATTTGAGGTTGGCTGCAAAAGGGACATAGTACCTTTAAATGTGATGATAAGCTTAATGCGAAATTCCAAGTTATTTAGAGGATCTAAAATTAAGAAAAATGCAAAGTACAAATTACAAATTGTATTCCTTTAAAATCGCTTGAAGTTTATTTAGGGACAAACCCTTTTTGTAGATGAACAACAAACTTCTATAAAATCTTGGTTGCGGCTTTCAGTGGGTCAGTAGGTCTATTATGACTTGTGTGGGCCTAAAAATATAGGCATTTTAAAAACCAATGAGATTTTTAACTAACCATTACCGTCCAAGAACTGTGTCCTGAATTGAATTTCCATTTCCAATGTACTCTGCTTCAATTCGAGAATCACCAATGAGTCGTCTGGTTTGTCGCTCAGATCCACGTCAAAATACACAGTGTGCTTGGCTGTTCTGTTGAGCAGCTCCGACTTGACATCCTGTGATTAAACATGATCAAACACACATGAGTTTTCACTTTTGAAAAAAGGAGAGGTCTACAGAGGTATAGTGGTCTGGTGATACGTTACCGGACTGTGGATCACATGGTTCGAGTCAACCATCAGTACTAGTATCTTTTGGCAAGACATTAATTTACATTTGGACTTTCCACCTAAGGGTAACTGGTATACAGGAATTTATTCCTTGAATGCTTTCAGCGCTTTAAGACAGTTGAGCTACAGTCAGAGAAATAAAGGTATTATGTAGGCACATGGAGCAGCCTCTAGGATGATTAATACTATTTTTTGTTATACAAGTCACTCCTAGATCCTAATCAAATGATTGGGCAAACGCAGTCATGTGTGGTTCATTGACTGTGACCAGAGAGGTGTGACGTGTACACATGTACGCAAGCAAAGATCAATTCGCGGGGCTCCAAATAGTTGCCTCCCATATGCATTCGCATGCATCATTTATATAGTAACATGTTAATATTAAATATTTTCTGAAACAACTGAAAGACATGGAGTCTACAAATGTGCATCTATGCGATAATCAATATATAATGTAGTGTGGTTTGTACAATGGCATTTTGTAAGGTAACTCCCTGGAACTCAGTCTGCATGTTTGATATTTCAAACATATTTGCGGCTAACACCTAGTAAATAAGATCGATTGATCGATCTGTAATTGAAAAGTGGTAGAGTCGCTGCCCGGCAAGCAGTAGATGGCAGGTTCAAATCCCGCTGGTTCCAAGATTTTGTCTGACTTGTTTTTCAATTACAGATCGATCAATCGATCTTATTTACTGGGTGTAAGCCACAAATATGTTTAAACTATTGAAATTTCTCCCAGGAAGAATTTAAAAAAAAAATTTAAAGTTTGATATTGTTGTACACAAGAATGAATATTCCCACCTCCATTTACAATTTCTGGGGCAGGTTAAACCCTCTTCAAAATAAATTGCTTTGTGGAAGATTCTTTTTAAAAAATTGTCCGTAAACCTAGAATGACTTTCCTCTTTAGAAATTTTACTTGTTGGAAAGTTCTGGGCTAACTCATTGCCAAATGATATCCGACAACCCCTTTCAAAAACAGTGTGGTGATGCCACGTTATGTTATTTCTTAATGAAATATAGAATCAATGCAATGAATCATAAGAATGGAATAAATCACAGGCTTAGATATTGAATAAAAATATCTTATTCTGTGTACAGAACTGTTTGCATTACATGGGCATTACATCTACATGTGGCATATTTCTAAAATTTGATGAAATAGCTTAGTCACACCGACACATGTACAAAACTGACAACAGACCAGACAAAACATTTTATTTCCCCCAATGATCAAGAATCAGTGGGTTTTAAGTCGGTGTGAAATCATTTTGAGGTGCTACTTGGATGATCCTTGTCCGTGTTTATAACTCACCTTGTTAATAGGATTGTTGCCTTCTAGTTTCAGACTTACTAGAAGATCTTCATCCTCAACAACCATCTCATCGTCATCATCTTTCGCAGGTTGGTACCTAGCAGTCCTGTCCAGAGCTTGTGAATCTTGCTGTGATAACAGCATGCGTAGAGCATAAGATGTGGACATTATATATATAGGTATATGAATGTAAGGAATTAACGTATTCAACAGCTTTGGCAACTCTCGTGGAATCAAATTAAATCTTGGGGTAATAAGAGAATGATGGTTGAAGCTTGAAGCGGGACTGGACTACTTATAGCTTCTTGCGCCCTCTATATAGCAAACAATGCCTAAGCGGTACCAGTTGGTCCCCCATGATCCCCTTTTTTTAATGTGAATTGGGAGCTGATTTGATGAGATAACCACCTGACAGTGACTACGCAAGAAGGTCTAATCTCTCCTGGCCAGACTAGTGCAGATGGGCTTTAAATAAAAATTTCCCCATTGCAGTCCTCCCTTTTGGGAAATTATTGGAAAGGTTGAAAAAAAGTCTCGAACCTGGACACTGGCTTAGAATGCCAGTGGCAGTGCCGTAACCCCTGGACACCCGAGACGGGCCAGTGGCTTTTCGACATCAGACAATTGATCAACCTTTAATAATGAGCCCTGTGACCTTTGACCTCATGACCCCAAAATCTAATCAGTTTATTGGCTCTGCAAGATGAATACATGACCTAAGTTGGCAGAAATCTATCAATTGGTTCTTGAGATATAACACGATCACGAGAACGGGACGTACGGAAGGACGGACCACCCAAAAACATAATGCCTCCGGCTACTTTGTAACGGAGGCATAAAAATAATAAAGATATGAATAGTGGAATATAATATCAGCTGGAATTCAGATATTCACCCAAAATGTTCCATGTGGTTTGTTCACCATTCGAAGCTCCATCGTCAATTTTCGGGAAATTGGCATCATCTTCGTGGAAAAGGGCATGAAAGACATTACCTTTCCATCCATATGAAACTGATTCCGTACGAAGGCAAGAAACCCTCCTGAAAATTGCTCCAGGGAGATCTCTATGTGGTGAGGTGTAACCCGACAGGTCTGTGGTGTTTGTACAATTCGTTCAGGTTTGACAGTTTCATCTCCTTCTGTTCAAAAGACATCAACGAAAAATGAAGAAGACGTAAATTTGAACATTCTGTATTGCTCTCATGCAGTTCCTCAATAAGACCAGTAAGAAATAAGAAATGTAGAGTAACAAATCTATAGTTGTTTTTAAAATTTCTTGAAAGAAAGTCATCGTCCCAATTGATTTATGTGTTACTATAAAGTCTCTGTGGAGCTGCAGTTTGTTTAAGAGTTTACTGATAATGATTTTTAAATTTTCAACATTAGATAAATTGTCTGACGCCTACCAATAAATTATATTTGTAACAAATAAAGTTTCATGCAAAAGTTTCTGATCGTTTTTCCTAATCTTTTCACATACCTCTTACACATCATCTACAAGTAGTAATGCAAAGAATGTTAAAGGTAAAGACCAGTATTGGAAACGCCCCAATTTCAAAAAAATGAAATGGAAGCTTTCATTACCAATCATGTGAAAGAATATGTTTTGACTAATACATGATGATAATAAATTTGCCGGGAAACCGCCTGCTAATTCATATATTTGGTAAATCTGTTTCTCTCATGGTCTGTGAGAGATATAGGGTAGTCCCATATACATCTTTCTGTATATAGTGCTTGTAACTTTACGAAGAATGGGCCAAATTTCTTATCATTTTGATGATTCCAGAACCTTGCAGATGCTAGATGCTAGATGATCAACCTTTTCTGATCGATTCCACAACGTTTCTTTCACAATGCAATCGCATGACCATAACTGGTCTTTACCTTTAAATTATGCTTAATCCTCATTCACCTTTTTCATTATGACTCCAGGAGTACAATACAGTCTGTATGCTATGAGGATCGATTAAGATGGCACAGTGAGGTATCGTCAACGTAACCGGTTTGTCAGCTGCGAATGGCAATTCGGACGAGCACCAGAAGCCATAGGTAACTACCGTCTCATTGTCCTGCAGAAGGATGTCACTTGGCACGTCTCTCAGAACTGTCAACGTGATCTTTACTGGGGTTTGCGTGTCCAGCGCTCCTGGAGGGATGGTCATTGTATGGGACGAAACTGTCATCTCTCCACCTTTGCTGTCAAATTCCCCTTCGCAAAAGTATCCATCTTTGATGAATTAGATATGAATATAGATCAATACTTTTTACTGATATATTTTTTTTTTAAATGCTCTAATTTAAAGTGCACCTTTTCAAATATCTTTTAGGTGAAGATGGCCAGAAGATGGCCAAACTGCATCTTTACACGAAAAATTGTATCAGGACAATCACCCTCAGAAAACTACCCCCCCCCCCCCGCCCCTCAGGATAAACCCCCGGGGTACTTGTGGATTTTGGTCAGTCTTTCTAGTTCCTTCCTAGTTTTGTTATAAAAGGAACTACAATTAGGATGCTTACATATCAAACCCATTCAACGCTCAAGTAGCCTGCAATGTATTGCTTTTACCCTCGCTTTAACCAAACTGTTCTAGGTGCTGAAACTCTTCCTACCACGTCCTCATTTATAAATTTAAGAAGATTGTCATCTCAGTTCATGCAATGATTTATATGCATACTTGTGAACGTATGTCCTTGAGCAAGGCATGTTATCTAGTTTGGTCCTCTGCACCTAGGTGTTTAATGGGTACCTGCTATGATCACGATGCGAACGTCAATGTGATTGGATTAGCATGTTCACGCTAAAAAAGACGACTGGTTGGAATGCTCCACAGAGGAGTGGACCGTATGCTCTGTAAAATAGTTTAATTATGCGTAGTAGTAGTAGTAGTAGTAGTAGTAATAGTAGTAATACAAATACAAAAAGATCTTCAAGTCATAATAGTTTTGGGGTTACCTTCAACTTGGTGGTGATGTCTAGTACCTTGCATATCTTCCTTAAAGGAACTGGATAGCTTGTCCAGAAATTCTGGCTCTGTATCATCTGCCAACGATGCTGACCCGGATGGCAAGGTAGTCTCTTCTGTAACCTTCCAGCTTTGAAGGCTCCGATCATCTGACGTGGGCAAGGCAAGATTTTCAGGTTCTGGAGAGGACGAACTGCTGCCCGATGGTCGAGTATGCAGCCTTGCAGGCAAGAGATTCCCCCGTTCTGATATCTACATGTGCAGTGATATTGATATAATAGGATTGAGAAGGAAGGGGATACATGAATAATGCAGTTCTGACCTGAAACATGTTAGTTTGGTAAAATATCTGATTACTGTGATGGCTGGGATAGCTTTTGAATTGTCAGCTGTGTGGATCTTGCAAAAACCAAATTATGTGGCCAAATCTATAGTAATTAATAGTTGTCTGGAAAATAGTAACTTTAAGGATATTTTTAACGTGGTCGGCAAATTTTAAATTTCAGATTTTTTTTTTCGGGGAGATTTCATATCCCAATCCCCCCCCCCTCTTGTGTCCCACATGATCTTACTTGATGGAAACTTTTTCGAAAATCGGTGGAGAGGCCCTCCTTCCCCGATTCAAAATGCTCTGGTAACGTCCCAATAATTGCCTGCGTTGTTCTATTTTTGCTATTTTGAGTTGTTTGCAACGAAATACCCGAATATGTATTCCTCTACCGTTAGCCAGTAACTTTGTCCTCGATTTAGCTCATGCTGCAATGATAATTATAAACCTTCAAGTCAATCAGGAACCCCATGACTTTTACAAGCCGGTCGCCTGTGTGATTATCAAGATATTTATGATTGGAAATACACTACAGTCTATTGGGGGAAACGAGTATGGTAAAACCGGTCACTCAAAGATTTGTTTTGGTTTTTTTGAGGCACTTCTTGATTTTAAAGCGCGATTTATTTTTAGGGGTTCAATATTACACCTATCACAGACATTGATAACATGTAGGGCCATGCATCTCAGATTTAACATTGTTAAACGATGCCTTTAAGGCAAAATTTTTAAAAAAGTACAAAGGCTTGAATTTTTCTATCAGACCTCGTAGGAAGCTGTCACAGTAGGCTTACAGCTTACCTCATTTATTCTGCGGTTAAACACAAAATAGCTCAAGTCCACGAGAGTGGTACAATATAATACAATATTAAAAAGGCACCAAAAGTGCATAGTAAGCTAAAAGTCCAACATGTGCCAATCTTAATTGTGTTGATTTGATTTGTATTTGTACATTTACTCCCTTTGAGAGTTTACCGTTATTTACCAGTATCGTGTGTTTGCGTGTTTGCTTGTTAATTTTTCTGTTAAGTGTGGGAGAATTTGTTCATTTATTTAGAACCAGTCACAGTGAACTGCTAAAGAAAACATTCGCATATCACACTCGGTCACAAAAAGCTGATCATTTTAAAACCTGCTACTGGTACATTCAAAGAGGGTATAATTATATCAATGATCACAACAAAAATAAAAGATTACCTCCCAAAAGATGATGCTGTATATAATTAAGCAAGCTATGGCAGATGTTAAATGTTCCTTGGTGACAGTATATACATTTTTCCATTATGTTTTTGTATGTACACTTTCCCCAGGGGCTTTATAGCGCCCCTATTCCCTAAAGTAAGTCAGGGATGGCGGAGATGACGAAAGGAAGGTAAAATACATTGATTTTCTGCAATTCTGCAATAAAAAGATAATGTTATCATGTATTTTGTAGGACCAGTTTTTGTCTTTTATTTCAGACAGGGTTATTTTTCTATTGAATTGATCCCCTGTAATTCTGGAAGTCCCTCATTGTCGTGGACCCCGGAATACACCATGTATCACATATGGTTTTCCCTCTTTTTGCATATCAGATATGATACTTAAATCAGTGAAGAAAAAGTTGAAACCATACACTCTCATATGCGGAGCCGACATCGTACAGGTTGCCGTACATGAGGTCATCATCAATGTTGTATAATAATATAATAATACTCAGTTTTAATATAGCGCTTATTAGAATCACTAAGCGTTTTCGAACTTGGAAATTTTTACCCTCTGAACGGTGTAGTCCCTCTGAACGGTGCTGAAGTCCGCGGGATGGAGGATGAGAATGCGGCCTGCCTTCTTGATCATCTCCCATACCTAGAATTAAAAAATAATAAACCAAGAAACAAACAATCAAACAAATATTCTACAGACAATCCACATCTTTGAAACTGCTGTAGACAGACGGGGCTAGGGGGCAGCTTCAAGTTGACTGTCTTTTTTTTAGGGTGGGGGGGGGGGAGGGGTTGTTTTTCCCGAGATTCTGTTGGTACTTATTCATGAGTTGTCCCCTTTCCAACACTAAAGCATTTTAATAGGTGCATGCGGAATAACTAATCTGACTTTTATCAATAAATACTCCAGCCAACCCCTTATAAAACACAATGAATAGCCAAATGGTAAAATGTCGACGATTCTACCAGATGCCTGCCTTTACCTGTTCCGTAGATGCATCGGGGTGGACGCAGTCAATGTTGACCTCAGTAATGACACAGTTGCATCTCAAGCCCGCACTGTTCAGACACGCGATATCGTTAGACTGTAGATGTCCTCTGCGATGAGCCAGACCTTCTGGATATACACGCACCTTCTGAAATATGGATTTCACTTGGTTCACTTGGTCAGCTCCATGTCTTCGCCTACAAACTGGCTCAGGCATCGTTTGGATGATGATTACAAAGGACGGTCCATAGAACTAAAATTAATCATATCTGATTGATAAACGTCTATAGAAACCCAATTACACTCACACCCACACACACACACGCACGCGGATCATGTTGAACATATTTTTATTTTTATTTTTTATTTTGTTTGTGCTGATTTGATTTCATTTGTATATATATGCTTTACAGTAGAGGTGTTGTGGTCGAGTGGATACGTTGCCTGACTGTCGATCACAAGGTGTCCGCGGTTCGAGTCCCGCCGCCGCACTAATGTCATTTGGCAAGACAATGATCTGCATTTGCCACACTCCACCCAGGTGAAGTAAATGGGTACCTGGAATGGCAGCCGTGCTAAAGCCAGGGTAATAATCGGGAGCGCCAGGAGGGTCAAATCTGACTGACATGAGCGCTATACAAGAACCCATTATTATTATTATTATTATTATTATTATTAAATGACTCGACATGTCTTTATTTCGAAAATAATCCTACTAATTTTGTTAACTTTGTGTTTAAACAAGGAACAGATAATTTCCATCTGTTTCAAAACAAAGCTAGCTTGTTAACTTCAGTATTCATTCAGGGTATCAATATATTTAGTTTGTATTTATGTGATAAGAAATGCAATGACTTATTCTATTTGACGAAGTCTGGGCATCTCTTACCTCTAACTTCCTTGTCCCCATGTGTGTTTCTGTGGTCCCAGACATGGTTCTGAAAGATAAAACATTTTCATAATTCTTTAATATCTGCTAAGATTTAACTATCTGACAGAATATGATACATTTTTTTTACATCAAAGGGGTCATGATATAGAAAACATTCCAATTATTTAATTTGTTCAACGTTCCATAAAGTCGTCCCCTACCCAAAGAAGGGCATAACAATTATGTTTGTCACTGGCATAAACGGCATAATTGCAGGCAGCCGACGAGGTATCATTACCAAAGCAGTCGATTTTCAGATTTTGAAATATGTTTGAGTTCAGGCGTTTCATTCTGTTGCTTCGAAAAAAGGGAAACGATGTAGTATTACACCACGGTATCATCTCCCTCTTACAAGTGCCCACGGGTGTCAGGAAACATTTTTTAATGGGAATATTTCTGTTTCTTAAACAAATTATATTATGATGATGATAATGATGATGATAATGATGATGATAATTATTATGAGATTTGTAAGCGTTCAAGGCGCACTTTTGCAAAAAAGATGAAATAGCATCCGCGTTATAAACAAAGGAGCAACTTATGATAGAACATACAAAATTGACAGAGAAAATACATTTGTTTATATGCCGAATCAAACATATGCGTTTTAGGATTACTTCTAAATACTTCACCTGATCTGCTATTACGAATCTCTGGAGACATGAACATATGAAATATTAAGCTTAGAAAGAACAAGTAATCCGCAGTTTTAAGAGCGTAAATATGTAGACGAAATGTAATGATATAACAAAAAACGGTTTCTGTCGGCGATTGAGCGAAGGTAACAATAATAAATAGGGACAAACTATGAAAAACATATATACTGTATAAGCTGATATTTTGCGAATGACAGGCTAAGAAAGATTTTCGCAAATCATTGCATCAGGGGTTCAAAGGATACGTCATGACTTTTCTATTCCCTGATGCAAGCAGATGTGAATATGGGAAATACAGATAACAATAACCTCGTCCTGATTGATATTCTGTTCGTACGTAGCATGATTCTAATCTAAGAGATGAGGGGGATTCTAGATCTTAATATTCGATGAATCTAGATTCCTACAATATGGTCACCGTGAAGGCAATTGACTTTTGTCATCCTACCAAGTCCCCATTTCTCTCCTCGGTATGGAGTGGATAATGCAAATTAATGCCTTGGCAAAGAACATTATATCTAACATCTTCTGAACCAGATCGGAGTATTTTCCGGTAAGTATGCAAGTTGCAAGTGTTAGCATTCATATTTGATAAACAGATATTGATGAATATGCATGTCTATAGAATCAACACACAATCAAATTACAAAACCCGTTAACATCGTCATTTCTGACAAATTTCCATTAACCGGAAGAAGCCCTATGAGCGAAATTTTTTTACACCTTTACATTGTCAACCGCGTGTTTTTAAAAAAATTTGTGTTGAGTCTATTTTAGACTTTACTCCGTCGCAGAATATGTTATATATATATATATATATATATATATTCCAATCGTATCGTATTGGGTAATAATTATTGCACAATCAAAGATAAACACCCCCCCCCCCCCGCGTAATTTTTGTTGTTTGAATAGTACTCAAACAATCTGAGAGCTAAGGAGGCGAGGAATGTCAACTTTGTTCATTGTAAATAATGAAAACTTGAACTGAAATGTCCCCAAAATGTCAGTCGTGTGATGTTTATATTATCCTTCAGCATAGTTCGTTCGGATGTTCAAGTGGGAAAATAGCTCATTTCAGGGGACTCTATCAAGTCTATTGACTTAACTCATATTTGTAAAAGGTACCGTTCCCGGA